CTTGAACAGATCATTGACGCAATTCTTCGTGGCATCGAACGTGACTCCGTTGTTGGCCGCAGTTCCCTTGTCCCAATCGATAATCTTCACAAATTCGGTGTTCTGCGAGCCGAATGACAGGGTGTCAAGACCGGCGCAAGAGGCAGGAATCGGCTCGTACTTGCACTGCGTGGTAGCCAAGCAATTAAACTTGCCGACCCTCCTCTCCGACACATCACACTGCATGTATGTCGACTGGGAGGTATCCGTGTCAAAGCTCTTCTTGCACTTCTCCTCCGCCTCTGTCGTGCTCTCTCCACTCAAGGTGTCACACTGCCACTGGTCCTTACCAACAGCTCTAGCCAAGCGCGTGCCCTCGCACTTGGGGAGATCGTCAGCTTGAAGCGACAGCGAGGAGTTGCCCCTGTCGGAATGGAACTTTCGGCCGGCCACACAAGCGAGGCCCACCAGCGCTGCTAGTAGCGCCGAGGTCTTCATTGCTCTAGGCCCCATAGGCCACAGATCCTAGAAACTCGGCGATCTGGGATCAGCCGATAAGCTTGCAGGGTTGACGCTTGTGAACGGGGCTTCTAATCCAAGTGCAACATCGCATGTGCCGAACTCAGCCTGATGGTCGTGCACGAGCGGCAAAAGCATGAAAGCAGTGCCTGCCGGCGTCTGACAAAGGCACCTGAGTCTTGAGATCTTGAATGGATGCACTGCGAGCCAAAGGAAGTAAGGGCGCCGCCGTGCAGCAAATGACCCTCCCGGCTGACTGCCCTTGAGCCGACTCGGGGGGCCGGCGAGCGGACACAAGAACGATCTCAACTCCTCTCAACTCTCGTGCCCACGAGCTCTGGCAGGCTCTAGGCTTCGGGCGGCCAAGCAGCAGCACAGACGGCCAAGCATGATTCTGGGGTGCAGCGAATGTCCCGGACCAGCTTACACGAGCTAGGAGCTTGTTCCGCGAACTCATGCCTATGCCTAGCGTCCTAGAGTAGGCAATGCAACGAGGTTTTCAGTCTTCTGCTACAGCTCCGAGCTAAGCAAAGGCTGTGGAGCTGGACTTCGGACTTCTTTGAGTCTGGATGGGATTGGGGCCTTGGGGCCTTTTATGAGCCTGGGCCTGCTGAGAGCCAGCAGACGCGAATACGATCTCAACAGAACTCGTCCACTGTGTCACACTGCTACTGTGGCCCGAATGGTCTTGACTACCTGCAATGGTCACAGCAATTCTCCTGCTTCTCGGCGTCATCCTCTTTGTCTGCCTTGTCGAGATTATGGCATGGGCTTTCTTGGCATGCCAGCTGCACATTCTCTGCTCACCACCACCACAGCCACAACCACCACCGCAACTCTCTCCGACCCCACTTTCCTCGTTTGCGAGGAGTAGTGAGTGGTCGAGTCTTGCCGGCTGCTAGCTGCTGGCAGAAATGATATCTGTCTTGGATTCGTTTACTCTCCTGCAAGCGGGGAATGACAGGACCTTGCACATGGATGCTCGCGAGAGGCCGGAAGTAAACCGGCAGGATCTTGCCCATCCCTCCGGGCCTTCATGTTTGAGGCTGGGATGGCGAGGAGCACGCGGCGGACGTAGTCCTCTCGAGAGGCGCTGGCTCACGAAGTACGCAGAATGGAGTGCTAGCAGTCAGGTTCTGTGGGGTTCAGGCCTGTGAGGCCTGTGAATGTGACATGATCCCAAAAAGACGTACTGTTGAGGAAGCAAAAACCGAAGATGCCGGAGGCTTTGCCCCCTCGCCTCGAATCCGAGGTCCACCATCTTGTCCGCCTTGGACGCAGGGATTACTGGGAAGGCACTGCAAAGATCTGCAAAGCTTGAGAGGGGTTGTGGCCTCATCGATAACCACGTAAGTACACTGGTTGAGCACCGTATGCCTGAAGGCACTGCTTGCCCTGTCATCTACTTGCAGGGGTCAGTCCTTCCGACTCTTACAACGAAGCGCCTCTTGTCGAGGGAGTCACAAAGACGACCGGGCGTGGCCTCTGGCAAAGGTCAGAGCCAGCCCCTTCGCAAAGTCTTCTGTACACAGCTTCGGAACTTATTCTCTGAGGCGTCAACCATGCACACTTCCACGCCCTGACGCAGAGTGAAGGCCTGCAGACTCGTGCCGTATGTTTTCGAAGCTGCCACTACGCTCAGCCCAATGTCCAGCCTGCTGCTCAGCATCTCTGCCACCCACGACACTGACCATCCGGCAATCGCAGAAGGCGGCGAACTTGCGAGCCTGCTGAAGGGCTCGCATTTAAAGAGAAAAAAAAGTGCGAAAGCTGCTGCAAGGCCGGATTCGCCCTGCGCCTCTTCCTCGATCTGAATCACCAGCTCGCGGCTAGGCGCCAGCACGATGCCGTACGGGCCATCCTGGGGCGTCTTCCGACAAGGCAGCAGCAGCATGGAGATGGATGATTTACAGAGCTCGCGGTCCTGTGCGCTTGTATCATCAAGCTTCGGGAGCTTCTTGACGTAGGACCTCATGACGTTCAGCGTTGCCGAGTCTTTTTGGACTGGCCCTTCAGAACAAGAGCCATGTGGACCCAGACAGCATCGGAAGAACATAGGCTGCCGTCTTGCCACTACCAGTCCTCGTGATTCACCGATGTTCACCGCTTGCACAGAGAAGTTGAAGCACGACAACAGATGCACTGGGCAACCGACTCTGCAACCGCAATGAGATCGCGGCACTGGCAAGCAATCGGAATCGCCTGGCACTGTCTGAGCAATAAGCTATGCATTCGACTTTAGATCGACCGGCGTGCAGACAGACCACACTGCAATTAAAAAGCTTGGCAAAGTAGCTGATGCACAATGCAGCACAGCTCCTGGGAAGCCCTAACCCTCCATCAAAGAGAGCTTGTAAGTTTGCGAGGAGAAGTGTGCACTGACGAAAAAACAGACACGGAGGTGACATTCCGGAGGATAAACTATGATTTCGCCTGTTTACGGGTCTCAGGAACGCAAGACTTGCCGAGACAGCATGTACTTGTTCAGCAGCTTGGCAGAGGGAACGTTCCACATACGACTGTCGCCTGCATCTGGATGGGCGTTGGCCTGGCATAGCCCACCTAGTCAGTCGACTTGTTCTGAAACTTCGAAGTCTATTGGCGTTCCATTGGGGCTTTGGCCTTCGTGACGGCTTCTAGCAGCTCCCAGGGAAGCGGACCCTCAGACCAGACCCGCATGGGCACGGGCCTCAGGAGAATGCAGGATAGCATGCATCTTGACATGTCGTAGCAGTTGATGGGCAGTTGGCTCCGGTACTCTAAGGTTGCCGCACACGCCCTCCGCGAATGAAAATCTGGAAGTCCTGCCGGAACTGACAAGCAGCCGCAGTGCGCGTTGCTGCATGATGGCAGTCGATATGGTCATGGTGGTGTGGGCAGCAGTGCCGGTAACAGTCGTAGCAGCAACATCTGAAGCAGGAGGAGGAGGAGGAGGAATGGTTATGATCCGAGTAGTGGCAGCACCAGCAGGAGGAGGAGGATAAGGAGGAGGAGGAGGAGGAGCAGCGTAGCAGTGGCGCTAGCAGCAGCAGCAGCAGCAGCAGCAGCAGCAGCAACAGTAGGAGTACGTACATGTGGAAGTGCCCCACTCCTCACGGAAGATGCGCCAGTCACGAGTGGTCATCTCGGCCACTGGCTTCTCTGTCCAGTGCGTCTGGCAGGGGCAGCCAGTGCAAATGTGGAAATACGGGCAGCCCGAATCTATGTCGCACATGCATATAGTGACTCTAGTCGGACCGAAGGGCAAGGCTCCGGCCTTGTTAATGTCCTTATCCTCGATGTCCCGCTGCTTGAAGGACAAGGGCTCCTGCAAGACAGTGCGGGGGCTGCAAGCACGTAAGGCGGAGGTCGCTTCCGCTTCAGTCTCTGCTCCTTGGAGGGCTGGACGAAGGCTGACACGTCCTAAGCGAAACAAGGGGAGGCAAAGCAAGCCTCGAGAATTCGAAGGCTTCAAGGTTGTTAGGTTTCGGGGTATATACACTGCATCTGAAGCCCTTCTCCCCCTCAAAGGGGCACCTCGCCAGAGTACTCCGCACGCTTGGCGATGAGCTCTTCGTAGAAACTCGGTTCCCGCACATTTCTAGCCGTCCCGGCATACATTCCCATGTGCGCTGTGCCGCATACCACAGCGCGAAAGATCAAAGCGGGGTAAAGCCGGAAGCCCGAGCCTGAACTCCGAGGAGCACGCCTGTTGTTCTTGCGCTGCTCTCGGACGTCGATTCCGGCGCGGTAGCCGCGACCTTCTCTCAGAAGTCTCTCCAGAATCCGATTACATCCGATTACCATGGATTACCTTGGTTACCCTCAGAGACTCGGAGAGTTTCTCGGAGGAGGCTTTTGAGCGTCCGGCCGAAGAGCAGCTGCGGCTCGAGGCGCTTGGTGTAGAGCCTCGGCCGATTCGGAGATCTCACAGGAGCTTGAGGGTTTCGGGTTTAGGGTTTAGGGTTGAGGTCCGGCTCTGGGGGCAGTTTGGGCAACCCGGCGGGTTGTTGTCACCTCGCATGGTGTCGTCGTCGGCGTTCCACCTCACAGCGGAGGGCCGGCTACCCACAGCCAAGGCCAAGAAGGGCACGGCAGAATGAGGCTCCCGACTCAAAGTTGAAGATGTTCCTGAACTTTTCGGATGGCTTCTGCATCTTCTTCTTGTTCTCCTGGCATTGCGGGGAAAAACGTGAGGCCGTTCAGAGAGACTGAAAGCGATGACACGAGGCGCCTTCATGCCGAGGTAGTGGCGCTTGATCAGCTCGAGCTCCTGAGAAAGGGCACTTTTCGCCGCCTCTTTCGCCCTTCCGTCGCTCTCGCCTTCTCGGCTTGTCGCTCGCGGCGCTCTTGGTCAGGAAGCTTCCTGGCACCGCAAAGCAGCAAGCTGCAAGCAAGCAAAAGGAGGGCGTGAGCGGCGCGAGTTCACCCATGCAAGCATGGATCTATTCAATCTATGCATGGTATGCATGCAAGTGGCAACAGGTTCATCTCCGCGAGGGAGCTCGTCTGCATCAAGCCTTCCTGATCAAACAATAGCACCAGAACGCTTGGTTCTTCCCAGCAAAGCCCGGCCCCGGCCTTTTCTTCGCGCTGCTTCAGCCGCTCCTTCTCGCGCTCTTCGCGCTCTCTGGCCCGCCTCAAGAACAGACGCATAGACGCGTGGCATCTCTACGAGGACTCGAGTGCCCTGCACCCTGCACAAGAGGTGCTCTCAAGTTGCCCTGCTAAGCCCCTGAGCTGAATTCAACCCGAAAATCTCCGACTGGGACTTCGGACTCCTCCTCTCTGCGCTTGCGCTCCTTCTCGCGCTCCTCGCGCTCCCGCTGGCCTCGGACAAGCTCAACCCAAAATCAGGCTGAAGCACAGGCTCGCCCCACGCTCCCCTCTGCCTCCCTCCCCTCCCGAGCGCAGGCCACACACATAGCGCCCGACGCTCGCGCTCGCGCTCGATTTCCTCCTGAAGCAGAAAGTCCTGCACAGATCACAGATCAATTCACTCGGGGAGAGAGGCTGCTTGTAGAATTCGTCTCACAGCTTGCTGCGCAAAAGAAACGATCAAGCTGCAGGTGGTCTGTTCCAGAGCACCTGCAGAGCACCTGCCCGGAAAATCCTACAGGCATACAGCCTAGGGCCTAGAGTCCTAGAGGGCTGCATCACTCAGGCCGATGCTCTGATTCTCCTGCTTCACTTGCCTGGCGGCCGCCCGCTGCTGCTGTCTCTCCTTGGTCACCACGATGCGCTTCACCCGCCGAGCATTCCAATCTCTCACTTCCTCCCAGCAGTCCCAGACCACTTCGCCAGACTGCGGGATATACACCTGGCCCTTGCGTCCTCCACGGCTCGTCTCTTTGTGATTTCCCGTTGATCTTGTGAAGGTCTGGTCGGAACCAACGGGTTGGGCCACGAACAGCGGCGCCTCTGGTAGCAGGATTGGAAGCTCATTGTCATCTTCTTTGACATACTGCCTATCCTTATATTGCTGCGCCCTGCCCTTGCAGCCAAGCCACGACGCGCTCTTCTTTGAAGATCACGCGCGCTCCCCCGACGACCTTGATGCCGTCGTTCTCCCGGTGGGTCCAGAGCATGTGGTTGGGTGGTGGCACCAGGTTGACGCTTTGAGGGGCCACTGGCTTGTGGTGGTTCCGGTGGCCTCCCACCTGCCGCGGGGGGGCGGCCCATGTTGCAACGCTCGCAGGGTGCGGCCGGGGCTCTGCATCGGGGTCAACCACGCCGCAGACCAACATGTCCTTGGTGTCCGCAAAACCTCGTGAAAGCCAGGAGTTGCCCGGCATGGCTGTGTAGATACCAACTCCATGGGCTGAGCCGTTGGCGACGCGGACACCGCTCTCGCTGGAGGGCACGCGAAGTCCCTGCTGGAGTATCGAAGGGATGTTTGCCGCTCGGGTGCCGTGGTATCCGAAATCTGGAGATCCATGCGTCTCGCACTCCTGTAAGAACTTCTGCTTCACGGTTGGTGCCACATCCGCAGGAACGAGCTTATAACCTTTGCCCAACTCTTGCTGTAGCACTGGCCCATGAACTTCCAGAAACTGCTCTCTCATCGCCTCGAATCGGTCGGTCTTCGCTGCCTGCTTCGACGGTCTCTCCTTCTTGGACACCTCTGCATCGCCTGCTTCGTCTTGCTCCCACTCCTCCTGCGCCTCGGCCTCCGCTGCGGCCACCGCCAAAGCCTTCACCTTCACCTCGGCCTGAGACGGGATGCGCTGGCGCAGGAGCGCGTCGTCCACGCGGCAGCGCTCTTTCGGCGGCGTGCACCACCGCGCCGGCAAGTCCTTGTCCTTCCGCTGGTCCTTAGGCTCAGTCACATCTGCGAAAGCAGGCACATTCCAGTGCGCGGAGGCCTCCCTTTCGTCCCAGATATCTGTCTCCGTCCGCTCAATGCCAGTGCTCACCGTGCGTTGACCATGCAGCACGCGAAATACTGGGACGGGGACCTGGACGGAGGGAATGGTTACAGGGACGCTCACGGCTTTGCCAAGCCTTTTCGTTGCAAAGCTCGCAGTATGAGGCCCGTGGTGCTCCGACTCTATTTGCCGTGCTATGGCCCCCCCATGCTGCAGCTGGGCACGCTGAGAGGGTGTCAGGCCGAGTGTGGTTGCCAGGTCTTCAGCATTCTCAACCAACTCAGAGAGGCTGCAAGCACCCTGCTCCTGCGCCCAGCGCTTCGCTGAGAGTGCATAGGCCTCCAACCCGAGAGCCCGCAAGAACTGGGAGAGGCCTGGAACTGGACCTGGACCCATCTCGATCGCCTTGCTCATTCCGGGGCCCACCGTGCTGTACCGGGTCAGCATCGGCGGGGAAGGCGCCGCACGCGGCCGCAGGCCTTGCCTCACCTGGCACGGCTGCGACGGCTGCGACGGCTGCGATGGCTGCAGCGATTGCTGCGGCTGGTACGGCGGAGCAGACGCATAGAAAACAAGGGGCCCCTTGCATGGGCCACCCCTTGAGGGTGGCTGGAAAAGCATCCTGACTGCCCACTGTCGTGGCACAAACCTCTGCCTCGAGCTCTCGCTACGAGTATAAGCTGAGCCCGGCAAGTTGGGAATCGCAATCATCACAACAAGAACAACAAACCAGCACGTCTGTGCCTGCATGTGCCGTCACACTATGCTGGAGGTGCACCCCCCGGTGTCTGGGTCCTTTCGTCGCTTCGAGGCCTCCTCCGCCTGGAGTGGCAGTGCTCGGAGCGACAAGTACTACCAAAGCACATCAATTCTTTCCTGATCCTCCCCCTAATGCAGGGCCGTCAGTTCTCTGTACCTTTCAGGTGCCTTCTTTTTCTGATCGGCTTTCTGCTTGTCTTGCTCCTTCTGTGCATTCCTTATGGGCTTCAGGCGTGCCACTGGAGATGCAGACGGATGCGAATTGACAAACTCATTGTTCAAAGGCAGCTGCGAAGAGACATGGAGGCTGAGTTCCGAACTTCTCGCGGTCGCCCTTGGATACAAACTTCAGCTTTGGAACCTGACGAGTTCTTGGACACGCCCACCGGAGAAGTCAGGATCAGATGAAATCTCAAGAGTTCAGAACTGCCCCCAGCTGTGTGCAAAGGTCGTCAACCATCCGTGGCTCTCTTAGAAGCGCTGTCCCGCACTGTTCCCAAAGACTTCTCAAGCATTCTCGCGCCTTGCTCTCCTCCTTCCGCTTGGCCAGCACTTGCTCAAGTGACATGACCTACAAGTGTTCAAGAGAATGAGGTCTCGCTGGGCCACTGCAGCGATGCGCATCCGCCGGGCCTCACCCTTGTCCCCCTTCTGCCTCTTGGCATCTGCTTCAGGGCCTAGGCAAACCGACGTGTTTGTTGGGCGAGCTGTTGTAACGGCTGCTTCTCATCATGGCAACTGTCCTGAGCCACATGTCAACTTCCCCTCTGGGGGCAACATAAGCAGTGTGCCAGCACGTACAGGCCATCAAGTCTAATAGCATAATACTGTACTATAGCCACAGCTTCGTACATCGCAATCATGATGATCCCCACCACCACCACCGACATCATCACCGGCAGCAACACTCATCATCATCATCATCATCACCATCATCACCGTCGTGTACCGTACGTAGCACCTGGGGGAGAAAGACCCATGACATGCTCAAAGCATATTCTATGCCAGCACAGACTACCTCAGAGCCTAATTAAGTCTAGGGCTTGGTGCTAAACTACACCGGCTGAAAGAGGTGGCCACTGGCCGAAACCCGAGGCCTGGACCATCGCTTTTTCGCTTGGCATCCTTTCAAGGTTCTTTCGGGTTTAAAGCTTCAAGCTACATAGTGACGTAGGCCACAGGGCTTCTCTTTAAAAAGCCCCTTTCCGTGTCGCTGAAAGAAAGGCCTTTAGGGCAGCTTCCTGCGCACCTTTGCCCTGGGCTGCATATTCCTCACATGTCATAGGACCATTTACGTCCTGTATCAGTATCCCATGGGTGCGCCAGGGGGATGGGGTTTCTGGAGAGGCGCAGCATACGTTACCTCTTCAATGTACAGTCAAGCAGACATGTCTACTTCTATGCTCGCGTGCATACACTTTAAGCTCATTGTGTTTTGTGTGTCTGTATGTCTGCGCATGGGTGCGTGGGTTGCGTGCTTGCGCTTGAGCGCGCGCGCACGTAAATCCACACGTGCACAGCAGCACTTTATCTTACTGTCCTTGGAACCCTTCCTCCCTCGAATACCTTTGGGGACGGCTGCTTCTGCGTGCGCGTGCTCTGTCTGTGTTCTATGTCGCTCGCAAGCCTCGGCCATGTCTCCAGGGCGGCCTGAGCAAAGACAGGGACATAGGCGGAAGAGGGATCTTCGATCTTCGGGTATATACGCTTTGATCTGGAGGATTCGGGCAGGCCCAAGCCTTGAAGAGGGCGCAGCGCCGGGCCAGGCGAAGCCCTCTTCTAAAGCCAAACTCTGCATCGCAGGGTTCATGCGATAAGGATTCCGAGCCTCTTCTGCCCCACGTTCCCCTCTCTCTGAGGCTCCCTTCCTGGGAGGACTCTTTTGTCACGGCTCCTTAAAACGCTACGGCCCTTAAGGCGATCTCCGAAAGCAAGCCAGGCGCATCTCAGATTTTCTGAAGCTCCCGGCACTTCCTGGCTGAAGGCTTCCGCCGCCGGCCGTCGGCCGCCAGCCAAGAAGGCTAAACACGGAAAAAGACAGCGAACAAGCCGCCTTCAAGCCTTTCCTCGTCCTTTCAGACTCTGTCAGTTTGGAACTACATCGAGACTTGATGGAGACTGTCACATGCTGCAACAACCTCAACGTCAGGCCCCTTTAAGGCCTGCTTGATTGCGGCAGAGTTTAAACTAACTTGGGTTCTCTCCGAACCCTCTTCGATGACATCTGGGCCAGCTGCATCAAGCACATGTACTCACTTCGTCGAACGAAATTCCTGTGAGCTCGCCCAGTGTTACTAGCATGCATCTGGCCTTGAGGCCTTTGAATTGTGGGAAGTCAATGCACGAGCGGCGGAGCCAGGTGCTTTTCGATGCGGATCGGCATATCTGACACGTTGGAACCTGCAGTGGAAGCTCGTTTCGCTTCTTCGGAAAACGCGACAAGCGTCGATACAGTTGCGATCGATTCAGGACGCCGCTCTTGCTGAAGTTGCGATGAAGCCTTGTGCTGGGCTAGTTTGGGCACACGAGGATGCTTGCAGAGAGCATGCTTAGGCCCCGTGCCCTTGGCCGGAAACTGTCTTGTGTAGTTTGGTCAAGCGGGTGCTGATTTCCTGCAGCTGAGCAGACTATGACCCTGAAGCCCGGGAGGCCCCTGAAGCTTGTCCCTCCTTGGTGGCGTTCCGGGCGGCCCATGCCTCCGACTCTGTCCCTGTAACGCCGCTTTCTGGAGAGACCTCTCAACATACCAGCCAACGCTGTAGCCAACTGGACGAGACCGAGAAGGCCTGGCGATTGGGGAAGGTGGCCTTGCAAACCACCTGAGAGCAATCTAGATCAGTGCCCTCTCGTAGCTCACCAGGCAGATGCACGAAGCCACTAAGCCTGTTTATTTTATGTGTGTGAAGAAGCCACCCACTATGCAAGGGCTGCTGCTTGGCGGAGCTGCGTCCAATGGTGCCCGGCCTCGCAGAAGTCCTTGAGATGCACAGATGCCTGGAGCAGGAGACAGGACGAGAGTGAGAGAGAGAACGACAGAGAGAGAGAGAGACAGAACGAAAGAGAGAGAGAGAGAGAAGGAGAACGAGAGAGAAAGAGAGAGACAGAACGACAGAAAGAGAGAGAGCGAGAAAGAAGAGACAAAGGAACCGCACCGCGTTAAATGACTCTTGCGGTGCTGCCTTTCCGAAAGGGCTTCCGTCTTGAGCCACCCGACCGATCATGTCCTCGAAAGGCGAATGACATCTTTTCAAGCTCTTGAGCCCTGGTACTCGACGCCGAGCCTTCACCTCGTCGTCAGAAAAGCTGATGGGGGTGATCTCCCGGAAGGCCGCCTACCCAGGAAACTTCGTTGCTTCAGAAGTTCCGCCTTTCTGGACATTCTGCATCCGCTTCTGCCCCATTGTAGCCTTATTGCCCTAGGCTTATCTTGTTTTCGAGCCAATCTTCTTTCTCTTTCTGGCTGCGCCGAAGCCGGCTCCGAGCTGTCAAAACGATGCTTGGACGTGTAGCTCGGGCATGCTCTGGTAATCGGATGAAGGCTAGGTTTCAACCGTCAAAGCACTGAAACCGCGCCAAAAAACCTCACGGTCACCCTGGGCGACGATAGCTCTAATCTCCGTTTCATTATCAGTAGCACCGTCATCGGTCTCATCAACATCATGGTAAGGTTGTCGTGTCCCGGTCTTGACAGTCCGCCAGCCGTGAGCACTGAAACGAACCTGAAAGGAAATGGCATGGCACGCAACGATGCCCGGCCTCAAGTGTGTCGATCTCGATGGAATCCTTCTCCCCCGCGAAGTAACGGAAGGCACACCTTGAGCAAATAATGGAAAGTACTCCAAAGCTGCAGGGACACGCAACCACGCAAAAGCACCCATCATCACAATCAGAAGGATCAGTATCAGCGCCGGCATCAGCGGCAGCAAGAGCAGAACAATAACCAAATCAGCAATAACCCAAACGATCGAAGTCGCTGCTGTGAAACTTGTTTGCGTACGCTTGCTGATGCTACGTGCTACCACCACAACCTTCACCACCACCACCATACTATGGCTGCCACTACCAATGTCGACTGACAGTGGCAGCTCTCGGGAGATCTCGGCACAACTCGCAGCCGCAATGGCACCTAACGGTTCTTCTAGGCTTTTCTCTGCAGCGTCTGCTACGTACTTGGGGCCTCCTGGTCTTGGGCCGTCTGGTCAAGGAAAAGCGGAGCGCAAGTCTGGGACCAACTGCTAAGCACTAACATGAACATGTTCACAGCTCCCAAAGTTTTCTTTGGTCCTAGACTTGTTGCGACGGATAGCGATGCCCTCTGTACGCTGCTTCTTTCGAAGCTCAATTTCTTGGGCCTCCGCCACAATGCTCCACTGTCCGGTGTTCAAAACTCGGTGGAGTGGCTCTGCGTTTCCGCCTATCTTGGTAAGAACATCCACCAACATACGGTTGTGATCAATCCATCTGATGGAAGTACCGAGCTCACTCAGAGTCTGCCTAATGATCTGCATCTCGATCGCCGTTCGGCGGTCGGCAGTGTGCCCACAAGTCTCCTTAGACAAATGATCATACAGGGATTTGGCGTCAACAATCGCCAGGTTCTGGGCATCTTCCTGCTTTCCTGGAATCACACACAGCCGACGATGCTTCAAGGCAGTCTCCCACTCTCTGTGGCCCACTCCTCTTTGTTGGTGGGACACACCTCGTCTCGAACCCGCTCAAACAGCAACTTCGCCAAACCCCCTTGTCTTTCAGTGATGCCCTGCTGCCACGGTGCCCTGCTGCCTATCTGTCTGGTAACGATGCCTCGTCCCGCCGCCATCTCGCAGAACTCAGAACTCCTTGCCGAACTCGGTGCCGGCATCGGTCACCATCACCTCGGGTGACCCAAAGTGACGGCCCCACGCTTTCCAGAACTTCCGGAAGGCCTCGCTGGCCGTCTTCTCCCGCATGGGTTCCAGCGCCTGATATCCCGAGCCCCAGTCGACTATGTTGAGAACTGGCTTCAGTTGCCTAGGGTCAACATCGGGCAGGAACAGAACGTCGACACCGACAATGACTCCTGGACGATAGCCTCGAACAACGGTGGCAGGACGACTTGGCTTAGGTAGAGGTCGGGACTTACAGGCCTCGCATTCAAACTTCTCCTTGATGTACTTCTGCAC